AAGAGATGCTTATCACAAAAGGTAATTGCAAGGATGTGTGGAAAAAAGTGTGGTCTCTTTTATCTATTAGATTATTCTTCTATTTATATAGAATTAGCATTATCCATGGGATTGAATGATGAAAGAACTTGGAAAGAACTGAAAAATCAAAATGACATAGTTTAGAGTTGTTTGCCAACTCCATGTACTCTCTTACTAACAAAGGAACATCTAATCAGTAAAGTAATAACCTTGCCCTTTTTTATCCCCACCAACTATATGATCCTTGAATGCAAGGACTCTGTCAATTTTCATTTTCATCTGTGCATTTACAATACTTGCACATTGTATATAAAATAAATAGTTCCCATATAGCTTTTTTTAAAAATGAATTAAATTTGTCATACGAAGTAGTCTGGTACTGAGGAATGTCTTTTTTTTTTTTTAGAAAAGTGAATGACTTGATTCTGTGAATTCCACGTTTTTACAGTACAATTCATAACAAGAAATGTCATGTTAGCCAAATGCTAATATGTTGCTATGAACAATATTAGCAAGGTCAGATACAGACTGAATCAATATAACCTTAGTGGAATCAAATGCAAAGATAATACCAAAAAAATCTGCCTAATTCATACACAGAGCTGTCTCAACAAAAAATAAGCAGGGGGGGCCAATGTATTTGTGTCCCTATAGTGCAGTGGTATATACATATACCTGCATATGTGTGTGTATGTATATATATATGCATATATATTCTCATACTATTTCACAAATTTTTTTATGATTTTCAATTTTTATAAAACACCTTGAAATTCTCTGAGGATAACAATTGATATAAATGGAAGTAATAATGGCAAAATTTGTTATAGACTCTGAATGTTGGCACTGGAGAAAGGAACCTAAAAGACCAATTAATATAAACTCTTCATTGTTCAAAAAAGGAAATTGAGGCCCAGAGAGATTATTTTACACAAAACATCTACCGGTAAATTAACAATAAGAATCAAAATTTCTGGTTTTCCAGTCCAATGTTCTTTCCATTATAATACATTGCTGAATGGATGTAATGTTGGTGGAGGAATAACAAAGAATGAGGAAGCCAGATTATGTCTATGTTTTGATTAGATAGCAGATGTTATTAATCTGTTTGAGGGAAAAAATATAGACACTCCATTTGGACCTTGCAATACGGAACAATAATAGCTAGCAGTCACATAGTGTTTTAAGGATTGAAGAGCATTTGATAAACATCATCTCATTTTATCCTTGCAATACCATTGGGATGTAGATGCTACTATTATCCCCATTTTATAGATGAGGAAAATTAATTGGATAGAGGGCAAATGACTTGCTCAGGGTCACACTGTTAGTAAGCGTCTGAGGTCAGATTTGACAAATTAGTTAATATCCCAGAATTTTATCAATTAATTAATGTGGTTTCAATTAAACAACTATTCATTAAGCAATCACCATGAAAAATTCACTAGACTCATATCAGGTCATGACTTGGTGAATGGCTTGGTCACCATGAATTATAAAGGCAATCTGCTTTAGCAAAATATCCACATTGAGAGAATCATAGATCACTAAATTACATTTATGTAAAACATGCATATACAATGTGACTAAGGAATCACAAAACACCAAGGAAAGATCTACATCAGTTCTTTTGACTTGGCCTATATGGAGTGGGTAAATTAATAAAACAGTCTGTTTTAACCACACACACGAAGAGTGATTAGTAATCACAGATCACTGACACAGGATGGTTTTCTTATGCATTTCCTAGGATCATAGATTCAGACCTGGAAGGGATTTTAGAGGCCTTTTAGAATTCAATCTCCTCATTTGGCATATGAAAAAACTGAGGCTTGGGATGTTATGTGACTTGCTTAAGGTCAATAATTATCAAAGGCAAGATTCAGTCATATCTGTTTTCTCAAGGAAATCTGCTATATAATTCTAAATCATGGGCACTAAAGTAGGTTATTCATGCTTTCAATTAATTGTTTATGTACTTTTTTGTCAAGAAGTATTATATTTTTAAGTTAAGAGAAACTACTGACCTTAAGGCTCTTTGTAAAGCCACTGGACATGACCCTGAATTCTTTGTCTGCATATGAATTCCAGTCACCTTCATGCAACTGAGGATGCCTTAGGGGTCATAAGTCATGTCTTGGGCACCACAGTTCTTTTGGACTATGCTTATTGGTGCATTTGTTTAATTTCTCTGAAAATCTATTCAGCAGCAAACATATCTAAGAGCAAGTGAGTCTTTAGGAACAACTACAAAACCAACCCTTCAGACTACTATGGAGCAAAAGTTCTTCCTTCTGGGGATTCTGAACTTAAATTTGTGCTGCAAATGTAAGCATATTGAATTTGTTAAGGATGTATATTCACTAGAAGAGACGCTATTGCCTAAAAAATTCCATAGGGCACATTGTCTCACACAAGAATGTGTCTGTGCCTTACAGTTAGGCATTTCAATAGACTTGACAGAGGTAAATCTTGCAAATCAGCCATTCTTTTCACAAACAGTAAAGTCTTATTAAATGCATTTCACAGCATTCTATTCCTACTTTGCCAAGAAAAAAAAAATGTATCATTTCACTCACAGTCACTTCCCATGGGCATGTTCCTTTTTGTAGCAGTAGCTATGTAATAATCAGCAAAGAACAAAGTAATTTGGCTCCAGAACAAATGCTCTCTAATTTTATTCAGAATATACACATTCATCATCTCAGCTCCCAAATCAGGGAAGATTCAAACTGAGCTGAAACACCTGAGCAAGCAAAATATTCTTATCTTTTGCCGTAGAAGTCAAGGCACAAAAACAGCTTTTTTTTCCCCCTATGCCTCAAATTTGACATGATTCCAACAATCTTTCTTCGTGTTTCTAGTTTCAATTTTTCATGTCCAACTGTTCTACTTAGTTTTAATGCCAGGTTTGTATAAAAAAAGTGTGTGCCATATTAGTAATTTAAGGTCAGGATTGAAGAATCTTTTTCAGAATCTATAGTCTTCTGTATGTTTGCATGCTTCTCTGCCGGCTCCACAGTTTGTGGGGAAAAAAATAGCAATTCATTATGAACCATGTCCTGAGACATTTGGTCTTATTGGTCCCATTTTTTAAAAAAACATCAACATGTATTTCCACATTGAAAGTAACTCCTTATGAATCAAGAAATAGTCAGAAAAAACTCAGATCTGACTTCCATGCAGGCTTGTTTTCAGCATAGCCAAAAAGATGTAAAAGGGAAAAAGTAGAAGAGAATATCAAAATAATTGTTTTAGGGAATGTTGTTAGAAAGACATAGGATATCAGAATTATCCAATTTCCTCCTTTTGGTATATTTTGAAACATCTACTCTGTATTTTAAAGAATTTCATATTTAGATATAATTTATTTCCTTTTAAATAAAAATAAGCCTGTACAAAAGCACATATACATACATGTATACATAAATCTATCTATAATACACATATGTATGTGTGTGTGTGCATGTGTGTGTGTGTGTATATAGCAATGGCATCTGAAAGATCTTCATTATTAGAAGCTCAAGGAATTCTATTTCAAGAAGTAAAAAGCAAAGGAAAAAAATCTCACCCTATCAGGATTACATTTCTAGTCAAATTGTGTTTTGTGTCAACTTCATATTTTCTGTGCATTATCTAGAATGGCATTTTGAGATAATGCTTATGAAAGCAGGTTCTTGCCTAATGCTGGTTGTCATTTCCAGTAGATTCCCAAATTCAAGGTTGACTTCAAAGCTGTATAAAAAACAAGTGCACATAGATTTTTTTTCCTTGCTTTTCACAAAGTAGAAAAAAATCCATAAAGGGAGTGAGTTTGAGAAAATTTACTGTTTACTCTAAAGGAAAAAGAGTTCAATAAAAACAGAATTACATGTTGGTGGTGAAATGTCAGAGTACCCTAGGTTCTGAGTGTTAGAAGGGACCTTGCAAGTTATCTAACCTAACTTACTCCATCAAGATATCCTGTTCATAACATTACTGATAGATGGCCATTCAGTTGCTACTGGAGCAGCAACATGAGGTCATCATTTTACCAGGAAACCCATTCCATTTTTATTAGCTATACTTGTTGAAAAATTCTTCCTTATATCAAATAGAAATAGGATTCACGGTCATTCTATCCATTATTAGTCTTGCCCTTTAGACCCACATAGAAGCAATCAACTAATTTTTTTCCCATATAACAGTCTTTTAAATACTAGAAAATTATCCCAGCAGATTTCCGATGACATGACAGTTTAGTTAGAAAACCCTAATGAATCAGGAAGTAATTGAAAAATAGTTTCAGCAAAGTAACAGGGTATAAAATAGACCTATACAGATAAACAACATTTCCATATACCAATAACAAAATCCAGATGAGAATATAAAGGGAGGTCCTGTAAAAAATTCCTAAAATATCTGCTAATCAATTTATACTTATTTTTTTCATTTTTTAATTTATTTTATTTATCTAATTTTATTTGTTATTCTGAACTTAAGAAATAAAACAAGCATTTCCATAACATAGTAAAAGAGAAAAAAGATGATTGTAAATGAAACTGTAAATCTGTTATGTAGAACTTGCTATTTCTTTTAAATATACAATAAAGTTATGTAACTTTCTTTTTTCCCTTGTTCTTTCCCTCCCTTCCCCTTCCCCTAGAGATGATTACTATTGTTTATAAATATGTATATGTAATATATATGTAATATATTCATAATATATACATAACCATTCTATATATCTATTTATCAGTTCTTTCTCTGGAGGTAAATGGTGTCTTCCTTCATATGTCTTTTGTATTTAATTTGCCTGCTTATAATAGTCAAAATGACTTAGTCATTCAAAGATGTTCTTAAGACATTGTTATTGTTATCATATGCAACATTCTCTTGGTTCTGTTCATTTTGCTCTTCATTATTTCAGGAATGCTATCCATGTTTTTTCCTAGATTATAAATCAATTATTAATCAATTTACCAAAACACATTAAATACCTGTGTTGAGTGGAATGGGGAATGGGTTCAAGTTTGATACCAAAATATGGATTTAGAGAGTTTCCTAGAGAAACTGGTTCCAAGGCAAGCCTTCTATTCACTATGTCACCTGAAAGGGAAAAAAAAAAGTTGAAAGGATATTGTGTCCATGGTTAGGATAATATAATAAAATTTCAATATTACCTAAATTATTTCATAAAATTAGTGCTGTACTAATCAAATTACCAAGAGGATACTTTACATAGCAAGACAAAATAATAACAAAATTTGTATGCAAACATAAAGGAAAGCAAGGGGGAAGTAGAGATGAAGAAAGAATACTACTTCTGGATTTCAAACAACTTGATAAAGTTGTCTTCAAAACTATTTAGTTCTAGTTAAAAATAGGAAGATACATCAATAGAACAGACTAGATAAAGAAGAGTCAAGATGAGTCAAAGCAAGTCAACAAGAATTAATCAAGCATTTATTACATGCTAGTCAGTATGCTAAGCACTGATGGGACTGTGCTAAGAGTCAGAAGAATCAGAAATAATTGAACTCAATAACCAATGTTCCATAACTATATGATAAATTATCTATGGAAGAGCTCCCAATTTGACCAAATTTCTGGACAAATATCAAAGCACTCTGATAGAAATTAGGTTAAGACCACAATCTTACATTATATATCACAATAAATTCAAAATGGACATGAACTGAATATGAAAAGTCTTACCATTTTTAAATATGAAGACAACTAGATCAGATACCTTTTATAGCTCCAGCTAGGTATTGTGATCTCAACCAAACAAGGAATACATTATTACAGAGGATAAAAAAAATAACTTAAATTGCATGAAATTGAAAAAGCTTTAGTTTCAGCAAGCTTAATTTAATAGAATGAGAAGGAAAGTAGTAACCTGGGGGCAAATTTTTGTAACAATATGTTCAATAAGGTTTTAATATCCAAGATAGATAGATAGATAGATAGATAGACAGATAGATAGATAGATTGAATATGTGTGTGGATATACACACAGATATGGACATATGTAGACTGCATATGTAACAAATGGTATGAATAAACAATTCTCAAAATAACTACAAACTATCGATAATTATAAGAAAAAGTATTCTACATTACTACTAATAGAAAAATACAAAGCAAAACAACCCTGAGAATTCACCTTTCACTTACCAATTGGCAAAGATGACAAAAGATGGAAATGGTCAGTTTTTGAAGGGTTGTCAAAAGATAGGCATACTGATATATAGTGTTGGGTGGTACTACAAATTGGTGTAGTCATTTTGGAAAACTATTTGGAATTATATGTAAAAGGTTACTAAAATGTCTATAACTTTTGACCCACAGATTTGAATGCTAGGAATATGTCTAAATATATTGAAATATTTATAGCAGCATTTCTTGTAGTAGCAAAGAACTGGAAACAAGTCATTGATCAGGAAATGGCTAAACAAGCTGTGGTACATGAATTAATTGAATATGACTGTGCTATAAGAAATGACTAATATGATAAAATACAGAAAAGCATGGAAAGACAGATTTGACATGAAGCAGAACCAAGATTATACATATGACTACAACAATGTATGTGGAAAAAGAAAAAAAAATACTGAATGCTATGTAATTATAATGTTAAAGCTTTACTCCAATGAAGTGATATGAAAAGGTATTTCCCTCTTTTCTTTGCAAAATTATGTGATTTGAAAGACTACAGATGATGTCAAATTTTCCCCATGTGTTTAAAGCTTTGCTGAACTAATTTCTTTTTTTCTATTTTATTTTATATTATATGGAATGGCTTTCTTAAAAGGGAGAGTGACTTCATTAGAAAATAAAAGGATCTAAAAGCAAAACATATGAATAAAAATATTTTTCTTTAAGAAAATAGCTACAATGTTCACCTTAAGTCTTCTATCACCTAAGGCAAACATTTCCCAGGTCCTTAAACCATTTCTCCCATGACTTCAAATCCTTTTACAACCATAGGATTATTGAATCCCAGATAGGACTAAGAGCTGGAAGGGACTTGAAAAATATCTAGTGCAATTCTTTCTGGGCCCATCCTAGATAAAGTCAGAGAGAGCTTCATGATTAGGTCGGCTACAAGGTAATGATGTTTTTGGACCACAGCCACTACAGCCACTGAAGAGATTGAATTCACCTAATAACAGTCCACAGGTTTCTCTCTTGTCTGAAATGATATTATTAGAGACATCATCAAATACTTTACCAAAAAGTATATAACTTCATGCTGACGATAGCATTACCCTATGTTAATAGTTGAATAAGTACAGAGCTAGGGATAAGGCCTTTAATTTCAATGAGGTATGGAATTTCTGGATGAGGGAACTCTATCAATGCTGGTTGGTACCTTCTCTTTAATTTATAGTCTTAGAGACTATAGAGAGTTGTCAAAGATTGCAGTGGTGTCAAATTCAAATAGAAGCAGATCCCTGCTGGCCACATTTGGACTTAGAAAAACAGAAATTAACATAATCTATAATGTATTTCATTTTTATTTATTTTGATAAAAAATTTCCCAATTTACATTTTAATCTGTTTCAAGCTGCACCAGGGAGTTTTATGGCAATGAGCTTTACATTTCTGGTCTAAAGCATTCAGCAGTTATGTAATTTGCCCAGAGTCACAGAACCAGTATACGTCAAAAACTTGACTTGAACCCAGGTCTCCTAGTCTCTTAGGATAATTCTCTTTCCATTGGGCTATAGCTGACTCTACAATAGTCTAACAAACATATCAAAAAAGAAAATCATTTGTTTAGTAGGACTTTGGGTCACCTAGTAAATTATATATAATTTGTGACCTCCTCATCAATAGGTGAAATGATGTCAAATGTACAGTTATTTCATATTGCTATAATTTACATAGCATAAGAACAATTTGTTAAATGAATGTCTGGCCAACCAACATAATAGTAGTGGCAGTATTAGGAGCTTCAGTTAAATAATCCATTAATGATACCATTACAAAATAGTGTTCACCAGGGCAATATGAAATAGGGTGTGTCTGTGAATATATCTGAGCTCCTGTTTTTCCACAACTTCTTCCTAGTTGTTTTTGCCTGTGGATTCCTGTAAATCTTATCTTCTATCATTTTTCCCCTCTGGCATATCAGTATTTCTTTACTTCAAGGATAAACAACAGCCCCTCTTCTATACATACATACACATGAAAATTTAAAGAATAAAGAAAATAATTCAAGAGATGACAGGCAATATTTAATTAGCAAATGAGTACTATGAACAGTTATTATAAAAAAAATTAAAGCTTCCCTATATTTTTCTTATAATCTACAGTATTTTAAATATTTTGGGTAATATTTTCCTAGATTTTTAAAAAATTCTAACATCTCTGACATTATACAGGATATTAAAAATAAATGTTAAATTCCTCTAAGTTATAGGTCACAAAAGCACTGGACAAAGAGACAAGTTTCTCATTTGTATGCCTCAGTTACTTATGAAAATACTAAACTTGAGCCAATATTGAACTCAGATAAACCAGAGTAACACAGTAGAGAATCATGCTTATGAGAAATATGTTTGCCATTTATATCTATCACTCTCACACATATTAAAAAATATTTGAAAGAATCACTATTCATAGGATTCTATCCTGCCTATTTAAATGCAAATCACATCTAATAAATATATTCATTGAACTAATCTTACCTTTTGAAAACTGAGTACAATAAACAATGAAAATAGAGGTAGAGCCATCCCAGCATCTATTTGGGAGCCAAGTATGGGGCTCAAGGACATGATTTGATACCACACTATCAACTCTAAAGAAATCACTCTGAGTAAACTCAGAGAAGACATAATTGTTTCAGTTTTTACCTTTGTCATATTGGAATATCTATAAAAATCAATCTGGCAGCTCAACAGAATGAAAACTTTCAAGAAATTGTTTTTTCAAGCACTCTCACTGAAATAATGACAGACACAAAAATTATATAGAAACATGTACGTTGTAATCAGAAACATTGCAATTGGAGGCTACATTTTCAACAAATTATCTTCCATGAAGAAAGGTTAAAATTATCCTCAGACAGGATGAATATATCATTCTTCCCAAAAGATAAAATGAAATGTACTGTTCTGTGTGTGTGTGTGTGTGTGTGTGTGTGTGTGTGTGTGTGTGTACTTCATGCTTTAGCTTCTTCTCTAAAAAAAAAAAAGAAAGAAAAAAGAAAACAGTTTCATACAAAATGAAGCATTTAGGAAATGGAGTAGATACCACAGTTTCTGACAGTAGATTTTCCAAGGATAGAGAAATAAGTGTAGGATATTTAAAAAATCCTTTTTTTCTTCATTTACCTCTAGCCTGTTGTGAGAATAACCAGCAATTTCCTATACCATAAAATTCTGGAATGTCACTATATAACTTCTAAATGAATAGGAATCATTTATGTGCATATTCCCACAGAGTTATAAGGTGTTTTATCATTAAACATCTGTGAACTTACATATATGAACTTCAAAACCACTATATTGTCAATGCCCTATTATTATTATCCATTGATGAAATAATTACTTTTTGCATTATCATCAATAGCGTATTATGTGCTATTTTGCTATGAATAAAATGATAATTGTGAGGGATGCTGGTCATCACAATGGCACATGAAGTACACCTGCAATGTGTAGTAATCCAAGGGGTCATCAGAAAATATTTCAGAGGTTATGGAGTCTTTTTGTTTTTGTTTTTACTTCTTAAGTAAGTGTAAGGGTCCTAAGACTTTAAAGAATGTAGAAAAACAATTTTCATTAAGAATGGGAAATTTATACAAAAGAACAAAGGTTCATTGTATATGGACAGTTAAAACATAATTATTAACTAGGTAAAAATGAAAACAGGCACCAGTACAAAACTAATGATGGATTTTTTAAAAATGTAATAATGCTTAAACAATTTGTCTGTGCCAACACAACTAGCAAGCAATTTTCTTAGATTCCAACAATAGGGGGAAATGAATAGGGATTAATGAAAGTAAGATTTTAGTCTATTTTCAATATCATGCTTCTAGAATTATTTCTGAGATAATTTTTGATAGGATTGTTCAACTATGGCTA